GTACTGGAGAAGGGACGGCCTTCCTTAACTGAGTCTCAACCGTTAACGGAGAGCCAATTGATCCAATTGGGTCCATGACTGTCTTGTGGTAACTGGCCACCAAGTAACTCGGTGTGAGCGTTTGTGTTGGAAGTTCGTGCAGGAACAGGCGGCGATCTGCACATAACTGAAGAAGCCGCTGTCCATTATCCGCACGCTCAGCATCAACTCCAAATCGACCACCTAACCGTACTTCTTCCGGACTTAGTCGTCTAACTTGGGCGTTCATATCACCCACCAGGATTAATCTATCCGTCCTTGCCGACCGAACCAGTCGCGACAGATCTTGATAGGACTCGTCCTTCTCAGTCTCAGAACAGCTGTCTGTCGGGGCGTATGCTGATACGACAAACAAACACCGCTTACCACATCGACCTGCGTTATTCTCCATTGAGCTGTTTACGATAAGGTTGTTGTTTTCATTGAATGGGTAGTTTCTCGTTGCCAAGGTTTTGGAGCCGTTCATTTGCAACAGAATGTAAGGACCGGATTATGTTCACAGACCTCTTGGACCTCTTGTTCAGGAAGCATGACTGGAAGCGCCTACCGATTGACAGAATAATAAACACTTCAAGATTATTAGTCGTTTGTGCATGTTGCCCTGCCGTAGCACCTAATATCCTCATTTTGTCTTCGAAACTTCATCACTGGTTGGTCGAAATCACATCAATTATTCACCTATTAACTGACTAGCCGAGTGACGACCAGCTTGTCAAATTATTCTACCTCTGAACAGCTTATTGATACATTGTGATGTAAGGAGTTTCGATAATCTTCATTAGAGAGCCGCGATTTCCCCACCATCCCGGCCTGTATTACTCCGGTGCACCCATGAAGCCGTCCTTTGAAATTTTACTTGTATAGTTACCGTATTTTCTCAGCTTAGTTCTCGATCTAACCTTTCCAAGCTTGCGTTCCGTCAAAACATTTTACTTGTATAGTTACCGTATTTTCTCAGCTTAGTTCTCGATCTGAACCTTCCAAGCTTGCGTTCCCGTCAAAACAACAACCAAAGGAGCACAGCATGTATTAACGGCCAAAACCAGGTCAAAAACATGTACGGCGCATAGTTCATAGAATGTATGGGGCGACAACATTCTGGAAATCCGGGCACCTGGACGCGCCACTGTAATCGGCATTCGACAGATACTGAATCATGATTGGCAGTTGGGTCCAGACTTTCGACCTATTGGAGCTCACCTTAGTTCTGGACTGGCTAGCGGCCTGATCTTTCGGCCGATAGCTTGCATAAAGGGCTTTTTGATCGTTGCAGCGCCTACATGTGAGCGGTATCGGTGTGGAATTGCACCCAACACCCTGAGTTTACTGAGCTATGGGTTTGGATGTTTGAACCGACTTCACGTTTTAGTTGGGTTAAATCACCGGTGAGCGATTTTCTAGCTATCTGGAAACGGATTGTAGCCGTACGCGAAGTTGCCTTGGAAAGAACTTTGAAACGGATAGCAAACCTGTTTAATCAGGCCCTACCATTACTTTCTAAACCAACAGTAGGAGATAAAAATTTTGAACAACCTCGTTTTCGTTAGTGAAGCAGTGAAATTGTTATCATGCTTTCATGGAAGTCTTTTATCCTGTTTAGAGATGGCAGTACGGAGTCCTAATCAATAGCAATTAATGCCCGTGTTTATCGACTGGTACTTCGGTAGCACGTATATTTCCTGTTCGGTCGAAGGTTACATAGGTGCCTTGTTGCGATACTGACGCTTTTCATTTACTTGGTCTCAATTTCCATTGCAAACTGCTTTCAGAATGTGTCGTGCCTGGTGCTGGTGCGTTCGAAATCCATGCCCATAGACAGCTTTCCAAGTACTCGCACGAAATCAAGGGACGTGCTCGGCTGGGCGTGCAAGCCTTCGCTAATGCCTTACTTGTAATTCCGAAAGTTCTTGCTGTGAATGCTGGCCATGACACTCAAGAAACCATGGTGAAGCTGCTGGAGGAAGCAGCCAAAGTTGAGAAGCGTTGCGGAGGAAATCCACCTAATGAGCTCATCGGACTGGATCTGACAACTGGGAATGCGATGATCCCGGCACAAGTTGGCGTCTACGACAATTTTATCGTCAAGAAACAGATAATCAGCTCTTGGTAGGTGTCCTTTCCGATTTCCAGATTGTGGGACCTTTTGTTTTTTATATGACGGTTTTTCATTGGCATTCCAGACCATGTGCGTTTACGGGGTTCGAGGCACTAAATCTATTGTTTTCGAACAAGCTGTATCAAGAGAGCGGGTTCGCTCGATCGTGTGCGTTTTGTGAAAATGTTTGGGGAAAACTATAATATGACGTTACAGCTTACTATAAATCTAAGTGCCGCCTACCTTCTAGAAATTTGTCTGCTTGACCTTCTCTGTGCGTTTCTTAGATACCTGAGTTTCATTTGTGGTTCGGCTCGTTACTAGCCCTCAGTTCTTTTCGAGTGTAATTCTAGCTGACCGTATTGTACTAAGATGCTCCAGCGCGCGCTGTAACATTGGTGCTACCTGCTTGAAACCAAGTAGGAAGTGTTATTTGCTGGTGCGGACGAATCAGATTGGTTGCATCTGGAAATGATGAAGATATCCAAAGAAGCGTGTCGCGCAGGACTCTTGTCCTTTCTCTCCCCAGACATTTGGCTTCCGGCTAGCCCATTGCTTTTTTCCGTTGGTTGTCACAATATCTGATGATGTATCACCGTGATTCGTTCTCATTGGTATCCCTTGCCGTTTTCATTACAGCTCCGTGATCGCCTCCAACATCCTCCTGGTGGATGAAATCATGCGTGCCGGTCTCAGCTCTCTCAAAGGTTGAATCCCCTGTCTTTATCTGTTTGTGCGCCTTATGGAACAAGCCAAATAAACGTTTGCTGTTTGCTAAACCCCTGTTTTACTTCTCAAAGCTAACATTTTCAGTTGTACAGTTCACTGAAATGACTATAATTTTGGAATGGCGAGCTCTAGGATCGCTGGAAGAATTAGATGTGGTTGCGTCGTGCACTTTTGAACGTGTTTTTATCTCTGTTTTATTGTCTCATTAAGAGATCGACTGCTTAGGGTTTCTGTTTCAATTCATAATCAGCAGCACACAATCAACTTCATATTTCCGGTTTAGCAAAAAACTGACTTTCCTAGTGTACGAAACCCCTTATGTATTGCATACCTCTGAACTATCGAACCGGAGTTTTTGTCTCGACGCTTTCCGGTTCCGGGTGCTGTACACTATATTGAGTAAGGATCCCAATTGACCTGGTCATCGACCTGTTTTGTGAACTTTTGTCCCAGCCGTTCCTTTTCGAGAGGTTTGGGATTGGCAGACGAAGGATGGTGTCTTAATCAAGCCGAATGGTGTAATAGTGTCCATACCGAATAGAATCAATCAGTTTGTGTGCTCAGTGACAGATATGTAAATTAGGATTAAGCGAATTAGCGTCTTTGTCGTGTGCCTCAGGCGCAGATAGTATTTTCATGATTACGCGGCACGATTTTTCTCTTATCATTTTGAAATTCCTCGGTCCACCTTGTACTCCTGTATTAATTTGTGAGATGGCTCAGTGGTTAGAACGCGAATTTACGGACCGGAAGGTCCGTGGTTCGTACCCGACCTCTGCCCTGGTTGTCTAGGCTTGAGCAATCTGGCAGTATCTTGGCCCTGGTGCTTCCTCCGGGTGAAATTGCAACTGGGCACCGAAGGGGTGTTACAGCTGAACGATTTTTGAAAATAATTTTTATTTAGAGTTTAGGGTCTTGAGGATCCATAGAGCGGCGTTTTCTTACGAGACTACTAGTCTTCCTCCAGCGTATCGCTCAGTCCGTCGATTCAGCGTTCGGTCGTCGCTGAGACGCTAATCAACCGCGTGGCAGAGATTACAAGTGAAGGCGAGGACGGATAAAGAAAATCACCCTGATCTGTTCACTGATGTTCGGAGATATGACTGAAGTGAAGCAGCCTTCAAAAAATGAAACTGCCTATAGTTCATACTGGGAGGTAACCGAGCAAAATCTTACTATGATAATCAGGCTTGACGATACTTTTTTCAGTGTCGACGGGCATGTATTGCGTTGTTTCTCGAGGGGCTGATGAACAATTCAGACTGGGAGTTGTGTTTACCATCTGTCGGCGAAACTTGTCTCATTGCCTGAACATTCTATTGTTGAACATGTCAGCTTGAGCAGAAACGGCCTTGTCGTCTATGAGAGCGTTCAGAGGTGATGGGGACACAGTCGCGCCCGAGTGGACGGTGTTGAGGATACACAGAGATATGCTCACCGTTGTGGATTTCTGTGATCAGTTAGCTCGGTTGTTTTTTGATATGGTTATTCTAGTCGTCTTGTTCACGTTGTTCAGAGTCGTCATTGCATTATTGTACTGCGTGACGCTTTTCCTCGCCTCTTTTCTGAATGAAGTGGAACTCTGGGTGAGCGTACAAACAAATCCTAATGGCCCAATTTGGTCCGCTACCAATGGGCCTGCGCCTTTGTCACAGTGCAACCCTGTGCATGCAACCATATGGCCCTTAGTTCTGGCTTGCCATGTGGACTTGATTGCAAAGTTTGTTTGCTCCTGTCAGACCTCGATGCCATCTTTGCGACTGCATTATACACCACCGAAATGGACACCAGTCAACAACTGTTTGCAATCTATTGACAACATGATGATCAAATCTAGTGGATTAAAACCCATTTTACCAGAAAAATATACGAACACCGCCATGAATTGTGTGACGGAAAGGCTTCTCGTTTCCGAAAACTGCTTTTTAGAGAGGGTTTCTGATATATATATATACACTACAAAAGGTCGAAATTAACGGGTGACCTGATGAAGTTAGGGGATTAGATAAGCGCACTTGGTGAGGACAACAGGACTCCTCGGGGCAATAGCGTGATAGTGACTGCCCCGGGCGAGACCAAGTAGTCCCCCATGCAGTTGATAGATCGACTAAATGGGGGAATAATTACTGACTATTTACTGGAACTGCGCATGCTTGAACAGTCACCAATAGAAATTAGTGTGACCACCTTTAGGGTACAAGTGTTTGCTTTACCAATCCTGTAGAGTTATTTCCATCGAGATGGTGTGGCACGGTCTAGTACGCCCAGAATTTTGTCCCAAGCCGACCCGAATCTATCTTCACCTACTCTTGGCCCGTGTGTTCGGAACATGCATTTGATTGGTTTATTGTTTTGATAGGCGACATATCCCACTATCTGGTGAGTTGATCTCATCTGTGCATGAGCGCCTAAGATGAATCAAACCCGATTTATTTTCATCCTGACTGTGATTGACTCGCATAAGATAGATTGCCTGTGTTCACTCATCATTGTCCATTAGAATAAAGACAGGAAGGCAACGAATAGGCCTATCCGGACGATTTCGATCCACTAGAACCGAGGGAGTGAACCTGAGTTGTCGACATCTATCAACAACGAATCCTCAAACCCCACTTTCACACTGACATCAGCTCACCTGATTACTACCGCCTGTCCGACCAGTGTGACAGCTGAGCATCATTCGGGAGCGGTCGTAAGTACTACTAATTGTTATGAGCGACCTCGGCTGAAATCGATCTACGTTGCGGACAAAATGATCACCACGGTGCCCGGAATAGCGTGGGCTCACTACGAATAAGGACCAGATAATGCCTGCGATACTTCTCACTGACAGGTTTGAAACAAGCGATGGCACAAAACCTACGTCTGAGTTAACTGCATGTCAGAAGCTTTGGACAGTACGGAGAATAAACACCGCTTTTTGTAACGAAATTGCTTACGTAGAAAAGACGGGTCATAGTCAGAAGCTCCAGTGCTAGCTAGAAGTAAACCACAACAGGAGACCAGAATGCTGTCCAGTCAGTTTTCACTGAACAGTCCTTTTACGCACGTTACCGGCTTAGTTGTTTGAACTAGAGCCTGACAACTCAATACAGGTTTCCTGCAAATCGCAAAGATCCGCTATGGAAAGTGTTGCGTATGGACCCCAAAAGCACCAGCATCGCTTTTCATGTCCGTTAGTAGCTCGGTCATCTTGAAGATACACTCTAGGACCGTGAAAGGAGTCCTTCATACAGGACGCGGATAGCATCCAGCCTGAGTGATAAATACGATCAGAATTGGGAGGAAGCATGGGGAATTTGCAATATTTCTGTAGAACAGGCCGAACAACCGATTTGGTGAATTCCTGTGACGTGGATAACCCTCGCACACCAACACTGGTTTCTCTGGGTTGCACCGCTTGAATTCGTTTGGCACGATTCACTATCCCACCGTGGCGGAGCCTAGATGAATAATATGCCAACAAGAAAACTTGACTGGTATGACTTTGGTTTCAGTAAGCTTGCGCCACACTATAATTCAAGCTCAGGGGTCGAGTTAATCTCGCTCGGTTATCTCTGGCTGCAAAGGCCTCCCTAAGCGTGGAATCCACTTCCAAAGCGAAAATATCGCAGGATGCATAGGAACTTTCTTAAAATTAGTAGACGCGATTGTCTCTCGGTGTTCATGTGTTTAATTACACCTAGGTGGGTCTCAAAGTGACCGGGATACCAAGACTGAGTTTCTTTGACCAAGAATCAAACGGAAACTCGCAGGACACGCGTCCTACCCTTGGTTTCCGTTAACATTTGCTGTCAACCGACTGAATTGACCAAATATATCTGGCATGCAATAATTCCCTCATTCAATTCAGCTTTCAAATTTCTGCAACATTCTGTCTCACCCCTACAGAGAATTGACATTCATATATTGAAAACCGAATCAGGTATGAAATTTGATATGGAAATTTGTACGTGGCAAATAAACGCGGTCAGCTCCCGGGAACGATTCCGCGGAAACACGTGGCATAACTACTTGGAATCGTTATTTAAGGTGAACGTCAGCTACTGATTCCACGGGAGTGGGTTAAACGAAGCGAAACTGGGAGATACTGAGTCAGTATCTACGTGAAATGAAGAGTCTAAGTGTACGTGCAATTTCGTGTTATTACGGAAATGCCTACAAGTCCGAAAACGACAGTGACATCCCCGATCGTAGATCCAATGTAGCCGTACACTGAAAGGGGCTGGTTAGAAAGTCAACACTGCTCTTCACAATACTTGGGGGGAGTTAACCCACTACCCTCGGGGAGGCTTACCTGTAATTTAAAGTGCACTTACGCGGGATGTAACACTACTCATTTCCAGTTGATATGATGAGAGTTCCAATTCTACCTGAGCTGAAAATCAATTAAAAACCAAACGATTGTACACACGTCTCGTTTCAGCATAAGTCACCTCCGCTTTTCAGAACGCTGTATGTGACCATTCGGCTAGTACTATTATCTGATGTTTCATTGACCCATTCCACAGATCATGCATTGTGCCCTCGTGACTGGTCCTTCCACTATGTTAATCGACGATCTGTATCAAATTTGTTTACAAGTAAACCAGTGTCAAAGTTCCCGGACTACATCATTCGAACTTGCGGAGAAGTGCCGCGTGCAAATCACGTCACAAGACCGGGAAAAGTCAAGGTGCATTAGCATCGTATTACAAACAGCAGATGCACCAGAGAATGAAGACACTCAGCATACCTTTATTATAAACTTCGCCGCATCAGCGCAAACATATCAGAGGTAACAACAAGAACAGAGCACATAATTGGCAAGTTTAAAATACAGCACAGAAGATAAGTCAGCCCGTCCGAGTTACGAAATGCTACGATAGAGCTTGCGACGAAATGAAAATCACTCCGAAGGGTTCTCTGGTTGCGTCGGGAAGCGTGTGGGAAAGACGTGGATAGATATAATGCCCACATTGATTAGTGGGAAGGGTAAGTATGTATCATGAGTTCACAGGAGCTCCAGTGGAATGATCCGTATACTTTTGATGGTTTATAAAGGATAGTTCAGTGAAAGTCACTCCATGAAACGGAAGCAGCCTCATTCGAATTCTGTATGTCACCAGCGACCTTCGCCGGGCCGAAGATATCTGCGAGAAGATCGACGTTCGAAGCCTACAAGAGAGAAGAGAAAACAACTTTGGTGTATGCTTTCGGAGTCAAGTGCGAGAGTGATCTGAAGAAAGAGTGGAAAGATATGATAACTCGTTTCGAAGCAAAACCTAAAAAACACAATCGACTCATAAAGTTTGACTCGGTGTCTTGTGGGGAAATAAACCGGGGAAGCTTTTATGGGGTTTTAGAGAGTACCTGATCATTTGGTTGGCTACGGTAGCGATTAGGACGTTGCATTTAGGCT